GACGCGGCCCGTCTATTCACAGATAATGCCGATTATTATCCGCGCCGCTCGTAAAGTCTGCCCCAGCGTTTCCAAATTAGTCCAGAACAATGGCATCCTTCCGCGACGCTGTGGCGCGCGCGTCACGCTCCCGTGGTGCCGTCTCTTTTTGCCGGTCGGCCGGCACCGAAAGTGACGAGTGGGGACGGCCCGAACGTCGCGCCACCGGCCACTGCCACTGCGACCGCCCGCGGGCGTCGCACGCCGCCCGGCACCACCGACGTCCGGTGGATGGCAGGCCACCGCGGCGTCCACCTCGGCGCCGACCCCGACGCCGACCCCGACGGGTCACTGGACCGGGAAGTCGTCGTCAACTTTAAGCGATTGAATCGGGCAGCTTTGCGGCCGATCTGGATGACCTGAGGTCACCGAACCGTCGCCGGGTCGGCGCGCGCCGCCGCCTAACTGGCCGTGTCGCGTTGGCGCCTAACTGGCCGCACTTAACCGAGCACGGCGGCGGTCATTTCTCCGCCCCGACCGAGTCGCCTAAAAACGGCGCCGTTTTTTTAGCGTCGCGCGCACGACGTGCCGTGCACAATCGTCCAGCCAGCCGGGCCTTCGTGTGCGGTTTGGTCGGTCACGGGGAACGGGAGCGCGCGTCAGAGGCGGAGCGCGACGGCGCGAGGCCACAGCGGGGAACGATGTTGGGCAACTTCGATTCAGTCGCGGCGCCCCGGCGCGGCCAATCGCCGGCACCTTGACGAGACAGTTCCGTCGCGCTGGAGACAAAGCCGGCGCATTGGCGGCGACCGTCGCGGTGGTTGCGGCGCCGGAAGCGGTCCGACGTCGCTGAGAGACTCGCGCGGCGTGCTGACGCGCGGCATATTAAGCGGTGCCAACTGTCGCCCAACTGTCGCGGCCGTCACTTCAATCGGGTCTCAGCCGAATAGGCTTACGCCGTAGCCGGCCGCGCCTTTCTCCTTGTTTGTGGAATTGCTGCGGCGGCGCCGTTGCGCCACGGAGTGCGTGGAAGAGCGCGCGTCGTCGGACGGAACAATCGGGCGGTCAGTGCTGTTACGTCACCGTCGCTGCCAGCGAAACGCACCCGAGGCCGGCGCCGTTACGTTACGTTCCGACGCGACGCCGCAAAGCCGGCGCTGGTGTGAGCTTCGTAATGTCTCTCGGTGGCCGAACGCAGCGTGGGAAAGGCTTGATGCCGCAGACTCTCGTTGCGTTCGCAGACGAGCTAGCGCAGAGCCAGCGGCGAGAGTTCATGGCCCGGGGCTGTTCACGTGCGGATTCGCTCCATGCATCAGTGATCAGCGGCGACTGGCGGCGCGGCATCTCACGCTCCTGGTGAAAGGTCCAGCCGAGCCGAGGCGCAGCTCCCACACGGCACGCAGTGAATCCCACGGCCGCAACGCTGGGTGTCGATCCTCGCCGATTCACAAACCGATGTTTGTAATACTCCCATGCGTGATTCGGCCGGTTGGGAAGCGGCCCAAACGCGCACCATGCAACAGCCGGCTGCGCGTTACGTTTTGTAACCGCCGTGCACCACATGCGCTGTGGTTAGCTTGCTTTCTTTCTGGTATGACGCACTTTTACCGGCGTTTTTTGGACGAGTTTCGCTGGTCCCGTTTCTGACCTGAGCTTTTTGCGAGGCTGCTCCGTGCCACAATCGGAGCATCCGCGCGCGCTGGCGACTACTGGTTGACGCGCTGCCTTGTGATGACCGCCAAACCTCCAGGCCACGTCCATGCGCTCCAAACGCCACGTTATGGCTGACGACAAGCACCAGCACGTGATCAGAAGACCCAATCAGAAGCCCACCCAAGGGATGGCGCATGACCGGTGCCCTTATTTGGCAAATGTGGTGCCCGCGCACGGACAAAATTCAAATGGAAGCACCTGAATGTCGCATGTGTTTCACTTGGTCCACTAGTCAACGGAGCGCGACGGCGCTGCAATGTTACCATGCGATGCGATGTAGACGACGGTGGCCTTTAACCAGCTGACGTTTTGGTCACTGGCTAAACGTGACAATCCGAAAGCGCTGAGCAAAGACAAGAAAGATAGCGCGCAAGCCTGTAGCTGCCGCTTCCTAGAGGACCACCCAAGGTCGGGGCCGTCTCCAATGAAATCCTGTTTACGACCACAACTTGTAGAAGTCGCACTTCCACGGTCACCTTTGCTCGTTCCCTGTCGCATCAGGCGGCTGGAAACCGCACCGGGTAAGCGGCATACCGTACACCCGCACTAGGATGGCCTCTTCCACTACTGTTGACGTTATACTTGGCCCAACGTCAGGTGCGCCTGTTGGCATGAATGCCAGCGCCCCTGTTCAAGATTGTCGGATATATATTGCCTTGAGTGGCCAATCAGTCCCAACTTCTGAGCTGTGGCCGCAATCTCTACCCAGCTGGGCGTGGCCAGTGACCGGGCTTCAATTACAGATTGTTCGGCCATGCTGCGAAATGGCCCGTGATACCACAGCATGACACGGACCCCAGTCGTAACTCGAAACGAAATGAAGGTTGTGGCGAATGGGACTGGACATCGACACGCGATTAAGCCATGCAGACATTCGCACGCCGCGAGCCAGCACCGACATCTTAAGAACAATAAAACAAGCGGGATATCCAGGCCAGACGTGCTCCAGCCAATGCCCAGCTGGACACTGCCAACTGTTCCAAGCTCCAGTGGTGGTACACGACCCCGCGCTGTGACCAGGCCTTCGCTTGAATTGAGGCTGATCCGTATCGTCACAGGTCAGGGGAAATGCTCTGGCTCCTGACGTCATTTTATTGTTAAGTCTCTGTCCACTGCCTGGCTGAACCCATCGTGTGCTCTCTCTCATCTCTCTCTCTCCTCTCTCTCTCTCTCTCTCTCTCTCTCTCTCTCTCTCTCTCTCTCTCTCTCTCTCCTCTCTCTCTCCTCCTCCCTCTCCCTCCCTCCCTCCCCTCCTCCCTCCCTCCCTCTCTCTCCTCTCCTCTATCTCTCCTCTCTCTCTCCCTCCTCCCTCACTCTCCCTCCTCCCTCCTCTCTCTCTCTCTAAACTCCAAAGATCCGTCTTTTCTTTATTTCTCTCATTTCCTCCCTTGTCTCGTCCTTTGTTTCTCAGCTCCCAGCAAGTCCCGTTAGCGTCCCTGTCCGGGCCTTGCGCGAGCGGCTAAGTCAACAGAGAAAGCCCGCGCAGCTCCGGCGCAGCAGTCGGCAGCGGCCCTCGCCTGACCCGGATGCTCCTCTGGCCCGGTCAACACCCGCAGATCCTCCGGCCACGGCCGCACGTCCTCGCCCCGCGTCCGTCCGGCGCCAGAGCGTCGCGCCAGCTCAGCGGCGCCGCCTCTTCCTCGGCGGCGCTGGGCGGCCATGCGTGCTCGCCGGCGCGCCCGCGTGCGTGCTTCCGTAGCGGCGCGCGGCGTGTGCCCACGGCCGCTGGCGCGCCGTGCACGCCAGCGACGACGCCGCAGTTCGATGGAGCGTGACAGCCGTGCACTAGAGTGACCTATAAAGCGACCGAGCGCCTGGTGCTGTGGGCGTCTCTCGGCACACCCGCCGAGGCCGCACCAGCCGTCACACAGCGCTCCGTGGCCTACAAATCGGCCGCAGCGGTCGCCGGCGTTTAGTGTGTCGATCATCTACTACATTTGAAAACGCGCAGCGGGAGGGCGGAAACGCTACGAATGAGAGTTCGAGAAAGAGGATGGCGTCATGTGACACCTGCGTGACCGCATGTTTACAGCTCCGATCACGTGCTCGGAAAGCAATTAACACTTTGGAGGTACGCGCCAAAACTGAGCGTGCAAGGCCTGCTTATTTTTAGCCAATTAACGCGTTTTCAATAAGCAATTAAATGCCTAAACTGTTGGTCTAATCGTCAGTCCGGCGTCGGCGTCCGAGGTGTGCCGTGTGCGTGATGAGAGAGTGCCGGCTGCGTGACCGGGGCAGCCCGCTATTGCCCTGTCGGCGGCACGTCCGAGACATGCCGCCCAGCCGGCGCGCGCGGCCCGTTTGGCAACGGTTACAGCCTGACCTCTGACCATTAGCCAGCCGTTCTGAATGTGTTAGTGCCTGACACAGATGTGCTGCGGCTGCCGGCCGCGTCCGCGACAGAGATCGACCCGAGCACCACTGTGCGGCACCGTTTGAGTCGTTCTCACTGTCCGTGAGGCCATCGTGTGCGCTCGAGTTGTTCTCACTGTCCGTGAGGTTGTCGTGCGTGCGTCTCGTGAAGAATGTCGACATCTCGTTAGCCAGCGGACTTTGTCCCTGACGGTTAGCGATGTGCTTGCAAACGGCTCATCTTTTGAGTTTAAACAACTATTCATGTTCTTAGAGGACATCGACTTCCAAGCCATTTTCACAGCTCACTAGTTAAGCAAAAACATCGCTATCGGCGCAAAATGACAATAGCAGCCGACGCGCCCTAAAACACCAACAAATGACAAACAACCGGGCGCCGGGCACACGACAGGGTTTGAACCGGGCGCTACTTTGTGACACCTTTCGAGTCGCGCACTGGGGACGCGACAGAGTTCGAGCCGAACGCCGCTGTGTCGTCGTCCAGCTGTTATGAGATGCGAACTGATAAACAAGCTCACCTGCTGTGTGTTATCACCCGTCGTGTGTTATCGGCAGCTGTGTATTGTACGGTCATATGCGTTTTCGGCACATGTGCGTGTCTCCCACTGTGTGCTGTCAACTGCTGCGTATTTCGACAACCCACCTGTATCGCTTGCCGTGTGTTGTCATTTGTTACGTGCCGTCTGGCAGCAGGGGAACCTCGGCGGAAATTGGAGAAACGTGAATTTTATCTTGTCTCTTTTCTTGCACTGTCACCAGGCCAACGTTCGATGTTGCACGGCGTTGAAGCTATACTCGTAATCAGCCGTCCTTTGTGCTGCACCCAGCCGTCTGCTGCCCTTTCTGACGCGTGCCTGCTGTGCCCGCAGACGCTCCGGCCGAGGCGTTCGTCCGGCGCCTGAGCCGGCGCATCAAGCGAGCCGCCATGACCTCGGACTCCAGCACCGTGCTCGGCCAGGTCCTGGTCCGAGGAGGTCGTGTCGCTGTTCGACCTGCTCAAGACCAAGGAGCCGCCGCTGCTGGTCAAGGTGGCGAAGGGGCAGTACCTGAGCGCCGGCGCCGGTGGCATCGCGAGCTCGGGAGCCCACAGCACGCTGCTGCTGACCTCCGCGGGGCGGCGGCGGCGGATGCTGGCGCAGAGCGTCAAGTTCAAGGACAGCCGGCGCCTGGTGCCAGTCGGCCAGAAGCTGCTCATCCCGGACACCTTCGACGGCTTCTTCGAGATCCTGAGCGAGGAGGGCCGCTCGGTGCGCGGCATCGAGAGCGTGGCCGAGCTGTCGCGCCGCTTCCCCGACTCGTGCATCGCGCGCGACAGCTGCAGGGCGTACGTCTCCAAGTCGGACAGTGTGGACACGATCACAGAGCGCACGCGCATGATTCAGAGCGGCGAGACGCTCGTGCTGGTGGGCGAGGTGGTGCGGACTCGGGGGCGAGGGCCTTCGCGCTTCCTGCGCTGCTTCGACAGCAGCGGCGAGAACGTGTACCTACCGTACGAGCAGAAGGTCAAGTTCAGCGCCGTCGCCAAGGAAGAAAACATCAGCGGCGTGCACAGTGTCGCCAACCTGCTCAACAAGCGGCTGCCGCTCAACGTACGCATGATCAGTGGTCGGCCACCGGACGGTGCCAAGCTCGGCAGCGGCTTTGCCGCCGAGATTCGCCTGCACGCCACCTACGAGGACGAGCTGCTGGTGGCGTCGCCGCTGCAGAAGGGCGGCACGCTGCTGGCCGTGCCGCCCACGGCGCCGCTCAAGGTACACGTGGCGAGCAACGGCGACGCGCTGGCGCGGCTCAAGGAGTTCGACCGGCTGTGCGAGCGCGCCACGCAGGCGTGGGCCGAGGCGGCCGACCGCATCCACGCCTTCGACGTGCCGCTGCCGGCCGAGCCGCGCCTTGACGGCAAGAAGGTGGCGCGCGCGCCGCGACCGCGCGGCTTCCGGCGCTCCGTCTCGTCGCCGGTGTCGCGCGTGACGCGTCGCCACAGCGGCGAGACGGTCGACGAGTACGACGAGATCGACCAGATCTATGACTACGTGCGCGGCTTCGCGCCTCTGCCGCGCGGCCTGCGGCAGGCGATCAGCCGGGGCTCGCCGGAGCGGCGGCAGGTGGCGCCGGCGCCGCCGCCGCCGCCACTCTCCGACCAGCCGCCCGAGCCGCCGCCCATCGAGACCATCCCGTCGCGCAAGGTGTCGCAGGCGTCGGAGCGACCGGTCAGCGTGCACCCCGGCGTGTTCGTGGCGAGCCTCGAACGAGGCCAGCCGCGGACCGACCGGCGCGTGGCTGAGAAGCGCGCCCGCGAGCCTACCAAGGCGCCCAAGAAGACCATGGCCAAAGACGAGGGCAAGCAGTCGATGAAGCTGTTCGCGAAGAGCGGCAACGCCAAGCCGAAGCCGCGTTTTTTTCGGCACAAGAGTGCATCGCCGCTGAAGAGCAGCGGGGTGTACTATCCGATGGCGGGGTCGGCCAAGTCGGCGGGGCCGTCGCCGCTCTTCAACATCCGCTACAAGTCGTTGAACAACCTGGCCATGGACTTCGACACGCTAAACTCGAGCAACTCGGGCGGCAAGACGTCCGGCGACTCGGGGGACTCGGCCGCCATCAAGGCGAAGCTGCCCGAGAAGAAGTCGAAGAAGCTAGGTCGGCCCAAGTCAATGACGAACCTGGTCTGGGAACCCCCCAAGCTGACTCCGGCGATGGAGATGTACGTCAAGCCGAGCCTCATCACCGACCAGGACCGCAAGCTGCGGCTGGAGCCCGGAGTCTACAAGAGGCGCAACTCGACCGTCATGCTCAACAACAAGTATAACAACCAGAAGAAGCTGGGCACGCTGTACTTGTAAGGTGAGTTATAGCATCTGCCGTACTTTCACAACTGCGCTGCCAGCATGCAGCTATCCGTCATGTATCAGCGCGCGTGCTGCGCACTCGCTTTCAACCAAATTACTTGCAGTAATAAAGTATCCAATACTCCAGCGTTATTTCGAATGTAAGCCAGTGGAGGCACAGCATCGTTCGGCAACATTGTCTGGCGGCTTCCGACCCAGCCGTCCCGCTTCCCATGGCGTTACGTCAGCACCGCCGCCGGCTTCTGTCCGGGGGCTGCCGCAGCCGACGAGGTCTCGGCGGGCTGTCCTCCAGGACAGCAGAGATCTGGCCCCACATGTGGAGCGCCGCCGTTGGTTGGCTGCTCACGTGCGTGCATGCGTGTCGCCTTTTCCGTACTTTCTTGGCCGCAAGGGAGCTTTCGCTTGCATCTGAGGGCTGCCTGCATAAATGCGTTTTCCGCTACAGGACATGGACAGTCTCCGGGCCACTCTCATTTCATGGCACTTCAATCCTATCTCGTCAATATCATAACATTATGCTCCTTCGGGACACTCAAGGACACTGAAACTCGGGAAACCCAGCCTCATCTGACACTCAGACATGAAACTCAGACACTCAGTCCGCCGCCGCATCACGCCACGCGGCCACACATCTCGGCACGCCGCACCGCGCCGCTCCAGCTTCTCCCGCAGCTGATGTGTCGTCTGACGATGTCCCCGGATGTTCGGCGTGGCTTGTGGGTCGTGCGCAGCACAGTGAGCCTAGGACACCGGTGTTCTGTGCACAGTTAGCGTGCACACCGGTGCTCTTTGCAGACAGGCCGCGCCCTGGATTATTTACCCGACTTCGCTGCCCGCAGACAAGCCAGACCGTGTGTGCACCTTCAATGCCAGCTCGGCGGTGCCGTGATTCCGCTTGGAGTGATTGTCGCCATGCTGGTCGGGGATTGGCCAAATTTATCCTGTAAGCCTAGCTGTTAATGTCAATTTTTGCGATATTTTAAGCCGTTGTTTCGGATATGGCCACAGATATAAAGCCTGGTGGCAGACCAGAGCGATGGTGCTGTCTGCTTAAAGGAAAGATACTTCTTATCAGGTTGACACACCAGGCTGCGTTTGTATCCATTAGCTCTTATCAGTTTAATTCCGGGCTCCGTTTATATCATTAGTTCGTATCGGGTTATTAAAGACCAGGCTCCGTTTGCGCATTAGCCCTACCAGGGTTTTCTTTTCATACAGCTTTGTCGACCACTTGCCAGATTAATTTTGAATTTTTTCACTCGCAAGGCAAACGACGTAATACATAGTAGACATCTCACGGCCAGGCACATATGATACCCGACCGTGAGACAATGAGGCATTTGACGCCTGGCCGTGACAGTTAGGTGGGCCCACAAGTACACCTAATTAGCGATGCAACGCCGCTCCGAAGGCTAAAGCTACCCTCGGTGCGGTAGACTTCGACTAATGCGGTCTTCCATCTCACCTCGTTCATTTTGAAATACCGAACTCCACTTTGTCCAGCGAAATGATACCATTTAGCCAACTTTGCTTGTGACCGTTTCCGCGGCCGCTGTGGTCGATTGCATAGCCATATGGTTATCGGGCGGGACTAGTCCAGAGCCACGCGCCGTGAGTGTGTGGGTGTCGCAGCGACAGCGATTGCTGTGACCTGCTGGCAGGACAGCCCCTGCAGACTCTGCAGACGACTGATCGATTGACGCGAGTTTCCTCGACCAAGTCTTGAGCGTAGGCATGGCTTCCGAATGAGTGAAAAGTGGATACTGTCACCGTCTGTCTAAAACTAACACTACTGCCTGTTGGCTTAGTTGGTGCGTTTTCGTCTCATCTTTGTCATGAAATCCCTTGAAACAGAGACACCCTAATACCACTGAGGAAGAGCTGAATATCTGATGCTGCGAAAGTCTACCATACCGTATTCGTGTGAGTGGCCTGTTTCACAACGTGAACAACGCCATCGGTATTTTTCCCATTGAAGGGACAATGGCCCAAGCAATCACTCCATCCACAATCGCGAGGAAGCAGTGTACCTCCACCTCTGCCCGGGACCTGCTCAGTGGAGCGGATGGCGCGCTCTAGTCGTCATGTGCCGCATCCCGTGCATCGGGACATTCGGTGGTCTTCTGTTGGGTGACACCAGTCAGCTGACCAAGAAAGATGCACGCATGCATGTTGTTGCAGGGTTGTAAGGAAACGTATCGGCAAAACTTCCGCATTTGAACCTATGGGAAGTTCCATTCCAAAACAACTTGCACCCTTCATTGAACTTCTCGCATCTGGACTGATTCTTATCCTCGGCAGGGTACGGTCAGATACTCAGGTAGATTATCCTAGATAAGCCATGTTCCTGGGCTTCCATGAGGCATATGGCTATTACGTGGCACTCTTTTCTCATAATGCGGATATTAATGTTCCATTGATACCCCTCCAAGTCCTTCGTCTGAGTGACCCTCTTTCACGAACTGTGGAAGGGGGCCCTCCGTTGGGACGGCGCCGCCGCCCGGACCGCCGGCTCCCGCTGCCGCCGCCCCACCTCACCAAGGCCCAGGGTCGACGCGACGGTCAGTCCGCGCCGCGCGCGATGAGACCGTTAGCGGAGACAAAGCGGCCCGCCCCCGAAGACGGCGCTCCCAGATGTGGAGCGGCCCGGGCGCTGGCCGCTACGGTAACGCGGGGAAGCGCCGACATGGCCACGGCCGCAACGGTAGCGCGGGGAAGCGCCGACATAGCCACGGCCGCTACGGTAACGCGGGGAAGCGCCGACATAGCCACGGCCGCTACAGTAACGCGGGGAAGCGCCGACATAGCCACGGCCGGACACCGGTCACGCTAGCGCGCCGCGGGCTGGTGTGAGGCGGCGCGCGCCACCCCCGGCCCCGGCAGTGCTTTGTTCTCCCCGCGGGATATTGTCACGGCGTTGTGCTAACTGCGCTGAACTGGCTCCGGAACTGGCGGACTGGCGTCTGTCATCGTGCAGCGGCGGTGCAGGGATAGACAGTTCGCAGCTGGGCCAGACACGACGCGGAATTCGCGAGTCCTGGATAACAAGCCTATTAGTACGGGCCGGTGATCAGTCATTCTGTAGGTGCGTGCCGCGAAAGCAAGCCTTGAATGCTTACGTGCTGCGACTAGACATACCATGCACAATGACAGGCAATTCACTGCAGAGGACGAGCGAAGGCAACGATACTTTTCCGCTGTGTGGTAATTAAGCAGTGAAGGGCGAGCGTAGATGAAGAAAGTTGTAAAAAACAGAGCAAAATTTCCTCTGTAGATTACCACAGAACAGATATCCGGTGATAAGTATTTTGGAGATTGCTGTTGACGGAAGACGAATGCCATTGTTGCAGGCGCGATGCCCTTGAGTCTGCTTGCGACAGTAATTGACGCTACATAAACAGGGAATGGTACAACACCATCAAGCTTAAATCACCAGCCATTGGATCTAAAAAGAAGCATTAAATTACACTGTCGCTACTCCTGTTTCCGCAGAAGCACCTCCAGCCCGTAACGGAAATGAGAACAACATGATGGTCCCATTACGTCGCCAATCATTATGCAGGAAAAATAATTTCTTGCGGCATCCACCGCTGCAAACGGCTAAAACCACAATTCAGGAATGCAAGATCAGTTACGTAAGCACCACGCCTGCCAGCGATGGTGCTGTCACCCTGCACAGATCGTATCTGTTCGGGTTGTTCACAGATCAAGGTCACTGCCAGCGGCGCAGATCTCTGCGCCACGTTCGGAATCCTGAAGAGCGGCACAGATTACGTCACAGCGCGGAGCTGCAAGAAATCGGGTTTTAATCATAAACAGCCTCGGAGTCTTATTAGCATCTCCCAATCAAAATGCACTTGAAAGACAGTAGACGGAGGAAAGGAACAAAGATCAGAAGGCATACTGGCTTGCATGACGTTAGATGTCGGTGAACGTGACTGGTGACTGAAGAGATTGGCTGTATTAACAAGATCCATTTTTCATAAACAAGTCATTATATTAGAAAATATCCTTGTATCTAAATGGAAGAGATTGGCTATATTAACAAGATCCATTTTTTACATAAATAAGTCATTCAAGTCAAAATATCCTTGCATCTAGATGCAACTAAGCATGATGCCTTGGGTGTATTTTCTCTTTGCATTATCTTGACAAAAATTATTGAATTACCTCTTTGCCATGCTAGTGACGTGAATTATAAGCAATTTCGTATGCGCACTGAAAAGGTAGCATCCTTGCGGCCGCGTACTTCCTAGCAACTTAACCCCTGAGGCACTAAGAAGCAAACGTAAAACGTTTTGAGGATACGCAATGTGATGGTAGGGCCCACACATACCTTTACGTTGTTTTAATGTATCGCATGCCGTATCTGCGTATTAGCCAACTGATGGTGCATTAAACGTCAGTGTGCACTTGTGCAAGGGCTATATTGACGTAACCTATGCTCATAACATTGGATCTTTTGAAGCGTTCGGCTGTACCATGGGTTTTGCTGATATTTTCGGTTTTCGTGTATATGTGACAGATAGTGAAATTATTCCACGTTATCCGTATCATACACAACATTTTTGCTAAAAAAGGCAAATCTTCGATTGACTCTTGGTCTGCTTTCATGAGCGTCTATGTCCTGCCTGTTTATTCAGCGGGGTCGTTAAAGTCAAATCCTCGCAGTCATCTCGGCTCATCTGCCTGGGATCTGCCTGTGTACTCACACACCCCACCCCAGCACTCTGCCTGGCACAAATCACCCCGACATCCGTCTCGATCTCCTTTGGTGGCGTCAGCCCGGCGGACTGGAGTCCTTCGCCCCCGGGCGGTGCGCCAGCAAACGCAGGGCGGCGGCGCCCAGCCCGCGCAGGACGTAAACACGAAACGGGGCTAAGTCGTTCCATTTGCCCGACGACTCGATGATTTCAGGCTTTCCCTTCGGAGGCCGGCCCGAGGGCACGGCGGCATGGAGCAGCTGTGGGGCGCCAGCGCCAGGCCCTGCCGCCA